GCCCTAGCGGACAAGGACCCTGCTGTCTGTGGTCAAGGGTGGACAGCGTTCCCTGTCCTGCCTGCCCCGGAGTTGTCACTTTGCAAGGTCAGGCTGGGGGCCTGGCGCTTTCCCGAAACCTTCACATCGCTCAGATGTGCCCATGAACATGGATGTCATTTGCTAAAACACAGAGGAGGCCGGGAAGACAGAGGTCAGACCAAGACTCGGGTCTGAGAGATGCAAAGAGCCAGCCAGAGAAGGGGGCTCAGCTAGGCCACCCGTAGACGGGATGGAGGGCCCGAGACTCTCCCCACCAAGTTCTAGGTCACTGTCGCTTTCCCGCAGCGAGAAACACGGCCCCTCTGCCCAGCATCTCCGGTGAGAAGTCGCCGGAAAAAGCAAGTGAGTGTCGGGTCCGGCAGAGCCTGGTCCCCGCCTGGGCCACAGCCTCAGGCTCACCCCTCAGAGCCCACCCTGCCCCCAGTGGTCTCCTGCGCCACCCAGATAGGTGGACGCTGTCTGACCACACAGATCTGTGCAGAGCAAGACTTGGCCCTTCCGAGTGCGGGCTGATCACTGTCTAGCCCGGCCCCTCGGCCCCTCGGCCCCTCGGCCGGCAGCGTAAACGAGTTTCCCGTGTTTGGCCCTCGGTGGAGACGGAGAACCGGCTGGCTCTGTCTTCCATGTAATGGCTCTTAAGGGACCAGGTGATCTTTCTGTAAGAACCGTTCCCTTCTCCAGGCAAAACAATCCTGCTTCCTAGTTTGTCCTCAGATCCCCCCAGTCCCCCCACAGGACGGTACAGGCTTTCCCTCCCTTGGCTGGAGGAGGTAGATTTAGACACGGAGAGCAACCCGCAGGCCTGTGCAGGCCGGGTTCCCACAGGGCCAACCAGGCCCTCCACTGGCATCTTCCTGCCTTCAGGCCACGGATGGTCCTGGCCCAGCCCCAGTAGTGGGGGGCTCTGGGCTTTTCGGGGTTTGGGGGCAGGTCCCATCCTTTGCCGTCCACCAGCTGTCCCTCCTTCCTCCCAGCACCCTGAGGACCAGGGGTGCCGCACTAGGCGTGGGCTCTGCACGGACAATGACTGCCAGGCCTTCGATCAGACCCCCCGATGCTACGAGGACCCACAGCGAGTGCCCAGGGGCAGCTTCAGTTCAGGATCCTGGAGGCTTTGCCTTCGTCTTATTTTGGATAAATAAACCGAAGCCCCGTGAGGTGACCCAACACGGTACGAAGCACGTAGGAGAGAAAAGCCTGCAGGTGACCCCGTGTCCGGCCCCCCCGCCCCCCGCGGCGTGGCGTGTGACTGCGACACTGACCTACGTTGGTGAGCTGGCCCTTCGCGCTCAAGGACATGGACAGGGCGGGGGGAGACGGCAGCTCTGACTGGTCGTCGGATTCCGGCAGCCCCCCGATGGTGTGGGAGTGTCGCCTCTCCTTGGTCTCCTCCTGCGCCTGAAGCTGGTACCTGTCGGGAGGCAGGACGCGGTCAGGGCAACTGCACAGTGGTGTCAGGCGTGGCCGGCGGGCGGGCTCCAAGGCGAGACAAGGAGAGGGAGCAAGCAGGGACGCCCGAGGCGGGAACCGCAGCGGCGGTGACCCCCGCGAGGGGCTGCAGGGCTGGAAGGCACCCCTGCGGGACGCCCGGGGGGACCGAGGGGATGGAGGAAGTGCGGCAGGACTGGGACGCACGAGTCAGGGTTACCTGAGCCCTTTCTTGGGCAGCGTGTTCCGATCCCCCTGGTTACTGCGGAGGAAAAACAAGAGAAGCGTGTGGGCCCATCCGAGGAACTAGTCCGGGCCCTAGGTTTGAGGGACGCACCATCTGAACACAGAAGGCCAGGCTGCAGGCCCCGCTATCTCCACCAAGGGAGATGGGCGCGGCCTCTGGGCCCCGGGCTCCAGGAATTTCTCTGAAATGCTACATGTTTTCCTCCGATTAGGAATCAGGGTGTGGGAGCTATCGAGAAGGTCACGTTCTGGTCGATGAAACCAGGACATGATGTCATAGAAATGACATCCCAGGAAGCAAGGGTTTAGGGTGACAGCCAGCCATGCAACCTTGGTTAAGTCATCTGATGTCCCAGGTCTCCCTCCCGATAAAAATTTCAAAACCAGCCCGGCCAGCGTGGCTCAGTGGTTGAGCGTCGACCTGTACACCAAGAGGTCACGGGTTCGATTTCAGGTCAGGGCACGTGCCCAGGTTGTGGCTCCTCGATCCCCAGCAGGGGGGTGCGCAGGAGGCAGCCGATCAATGACTCA